AATTTCATTACCCTAGTAGAATTTCAAGCTTTTGAAGGGGAATTCCACCCATTTTTCAAGATTTAGATTTAAACAAAGTCATTCAGAGTGGTTTCATGTAAAATGCTTTGTTGCAGAAAACTTAAGAACTCATTTCTTTACAGTGGTAATGGTAGGAACCAGGGCTCACAGTGTCTACAGCGCAAATTTTGCCATTTTATTTGCTATCCAAAATGACCAGTGAACCTACATGTCTGCAGAGGTTTTACATGTAATGTTGATAGATAAGCAGTGAATCTGAAAAAAATGTTTACTTTGGGGACTGTTTTGCATGTACCTTTCCACCATGAATGTATTTAAAAAAAAAAAACATTCTATGCTTACAACTTGCATAGAACAATGTCTCAGACATCAGGCAGACACCATGTCCTGTTATCAGTAGGGAGCTTTAAGAGGTGTTAAACTCTTAAGATGTCTGGTTCCTATCACCACCACTGTGAACAATTCTGACTAAATAAATAAATAAGTTTCTCTACAATGGTGCATTTCTCACTACTCTCAATTGCTTTGTTTATACCTTACCAACTTAATTATGCAGAAATGTCTCAATTAAAAATATAATGAATACTCAAATGTTCAAATGTTCAAAGTTATTTTTACACAGTAGTACAATACAGACAGAACAATAATAAAAAACCAGGCTGCACTGTATTTTATAGAATATTGTTGTAATTCTGCCAGAATTCTTCCACAGTTGATGCTGTATCATGATGCATCCCTTGTTAAGTTGCACACATTCCTCAGTGATGAGGTGACATTTCTCCAGTGCATCTGCTTTAACAAGTATCTCCATTGCTTTGCTGGTACTGAATGGTCATTAGTGATCTCTAACCTCTAGGCTTTGCTCTAGCTAGCATTACTCAGGCCCCATTTAATCAACACCAATCAATGCCTCCTCTTCTTCCACCAAAAACATTCCTGCCCTTCTTCTTTAAAAGCTGTGCCTGTTGTTTTTTTCTCAAAGGAGGATAGTGAGAAACCTAGATAAGTGGAGGGGGAGCCCCCAGTGAGTGCTTGTTGGAGTGTAAGGGCAGGCTTGTGTGTGTCTACAGGTGCAGTCTGGCCGAGCTCAAACCGCTGGTGCTTGTGAGAAAGACAGTCTTCTTTAAATAAGCATCTGCTTCCTGCTGCAGTGCAGAAAACCCAGGCTGCAGGAACACCTGAGCCTGGCCAGAGGCACTGTTGCATGGTTATCTGGCCCAAAGCTAAACCTGGCTTTTGTGATCACAGATAGTTTCCTGGCTGTGGCTGACCTTTGTCTTCTGGATGCCACCTTCTAGGCTTGGGCGACAATATTGACAGTATTTTAACTGCAGTATTGACAATATTATCATTGCAATGCCAGCAGTCTTGACCAAAGATGTTTTTTTCTGTTGAGATTGGAGAGAATGTTCCACAACTTCACCACGTAATTGCGCAAGCATGTTTAACAGTGTGAAAAAAGCCGTCAACAAGTCAGAAATACAACCAACCATTATCACTTTTTGCAAAAAGCACCAGTTACACAATTTGTACAATTTCTCATTGTTCTTATTAAGACCTTGTTGTCCTCTGCTGAGAATTCTTCAGCTGTACAATCTGATCCTTAGTTTTCATTCTGCGGTGTGATTACAGAGTCCAGAGTGGAGGAGAACTAGAAGAGTCATATGGCCTCTGTGGTAGCTGTGCTTTATTGAAGTGGCTTCCTGATTGTAATGGACCGATAGGCAGAGGCTGATGTAAAAGACTCAGAATGCCCCCCCTCTCCTCCCCAAACTTGCTGGCAGACCCCAGCGTCATGGTTAGGTTAAACTCATGCTTAGAGATGTAATCAGTCACTCTGGAGATAGTGTGGGTTGTTGACAGCATGAGGAGGAAAGGAAGGGAGGGGGGCTGTTTCCAAGTACAGTAAATGGAATACTTTGTGCAGGCACTTGAAGCTATTTTTTGTGCCTCTGGAGCGAGTTCACATTAGGACCGTCATGGCGGTTCAGGTTCATTTCCCAGTGAAATGGATTCCTGCAACCACCTTTGTGACACAAAGGTGCCTTTTCCTAACAATCAACAAACTTACTATTTATTATTTATATTTAAAAGGGTGGCTGCACCCTGCTTAGTCTTTTGCCCATTCCAGATTTTTTTAATGTTGTCTCTTTCTCTTTACTTTTTTTTCCCCCCTCCCTCTTTCTCCCTTTCCTCTCGCTCTCTGCCTTGTTCTCATAAAGGAACATTTAATTGCAGATTTCCTGTTCTTGGCGCAATGCCTCTTACCAGCTGTATGGAATGTAGCTATCCTGCTGTCTAGCTGCCAGCTACTGAGCTCAATGAAAAACAACAAAAATTCAAAAATTAAAGTCGTGCAGGCCCTCGCGACCTCTTAAAAGCATTTTTCTTCCTTGCCGAGGAAACATGTTGTGGCCTAACTTGTAAAGCATAGATTTTTTCTTAAGTGAAAAGAGAAGGGAACAGTGGCTTAGGATAGCCATACATGGACATGTGGATAGTGTTTTGTTTTGTTTTTTTCAATCGCAACTTTAATGTTGGAATTTATTAGCTGACTTCTCACCTTGCAGTAGGGGCTATTTCCATTCTTATCTCAGCACTCACATAAATACACAAATTAAGCAGTGACAGCTGATATCAATTATCCCCTGGAACTTAAAAACAAGGAAATATGAGGTCAAAATAAGCCTAATTTTGGCCATTGTACACAAACTAAAAGGGGGTCATAAGACCTGCTTAAAGCTTAGGGAGGGCTCCCGGGGGTGTTGGAGGAAGGGGGGGGGGTATTGAAGATTTCAGAGGATTAGCTGCAAACAGGATAAGTCATTGTGTGCATTATTATGCCTCTATTATATAAACATGAACTGAAACATTACAGTGGGAATCAGGTATTTGGCAGCTGCCTGCTATTTTGATTTGACCGCGTGGAGCGAGCCGTTTTCCAGTTTTAGCAGCTGTAACATGTTTAAACTCTTTTGGTAATGGGATCTGAAGATGAATGTTCCCTCTGGGCTCCTGCTTAGCTTTGCCGTTGGCCGACTGCCAAACCCCAACCAGCATAGCTCTCCCGCATGCCTCCCCCTGCCTGAGCATGCTCAGTGCAGCCCTGCTGGCCCCAGCTCCGAGAGGCCTGGACGGCCTCGCTGTTGAGTAAACACTCAGCCAAGCAAAATAGCGGAAATGAATTCCTCTGGAGATGCCTTGCAGATTTTATTAAACAAGAGAAGAAAGAAGAGATAAAGAGAAACGGAGAGAGAGGGGGCCTTCTAGTGATATGAACTAGAAAAGAAGAAGAAGAAAAAAAAACAACAAAAGCTTCTAAATAATTGAGATAGAGTGGTCTGACGTATTTAGCGCATCTCCGGTCCTGTCGGCTCCTGTTCGGCATTCCCAGATCACGATGCGCGAGATGTAAAATTTTTATTTTGATTATGGCTGGCATCTCACAGTGGATATTTATAATTCTGCATGCCTCTGACAGTTCCCACCCGGACTCATTAATCATACCGAGCCACATTATAAAAACTTCAAACTGCGTGAGCAGAGCAGCAGATTACAGTGCTATGTATCACCCCATCCAATTACCACAGCCTCTATCAAGCTTCTCCATCAGCAAAAGCCAGAGACAAGGCTGATAGCAGGAGCCTAGATCTCCGTGTGAATTCAGTTCATGCTTGGACAAAGAGCAATAAGTGGTTCTGCAGCATTTGTAATGTAAATCATGCTTACTTCTTGTGTCATTTTGGCTTTTGTGGGGTTAGGCAGGTATAGGTTAAAGACTAGCATGCTGAGGAGAAGGAGAGTGGGGTGGAATGGCCATATGTCATCAGCTGCTGGGAATGCTTTTAATTAGGATCAAGTGCATTATCCCCCGTTTGCTCCACATGCTTCACTGAGGACAAGGTATTTCAGAGAGAGAAAGAGAATATGTGTACGATCATAGTCTTCTAGAGAAATCCTATAAAAGAGGTTCTGAAATTACAAAAAAATCCAGTTTGTTAAGTTCGGTTTGAATTCCATGTGTGCTATATACACTCTACAGTGAGATTCTCAGGTGGCTAGGTCCTCCCTCTCTCCCCATCACTAAATGAACAGTCCATGACCAGCTTTTGTTCTCTCATCATGTTTGTAGGTGTTTAGCCAGCTGTTGGTAAGGTTCCTTGGCTTTGCTATAGAATTTTCCTCTGTTAAGCCTTTAATGCCAAACATGAAAAATTTGTTTATTTGGAAAGTGTGACAGATCAAGCACAAGAGTAGTAATTAAAGTGAACCATTAACAGCAAATAAATAATTGTTTGAACGAAAAAGTTTTTTCAATTTAATTTCCAACTACAGTACCTGGATAGACGGATTTATTTTTCAGGTTGAGGAATGTTTTTATATCATGTGATGTGAAGTCGCAAAAGGCAGCTGGTTTAAGGGCTACTAGATTTTTGTGTTTGGGACCAGTTTTTGAAAGGACAATAGCACAAATTGAAAGCAAACATCTCCAGGTTATAAAACACACTTGTTTTGCCCATGTTCCCTGAAAGAAAGTGTGCACAATGGTGTGAGGAAATCACACATGTAGGATTATAAGAAACACGTGCAAGATTATAGAAAAGGACAAGGTGGACGGGGACATCATTTCTGTTCATCGGACTAGTAATGAGGGGTACATATAACTTTAGAACTTTATAATATAGAACTTTCAGTGGCCCAACGTTTTGAAAGCTTTGACTGTGTTTGTTTTGACTTCTGCAACTAGCTTTGATCAGTGCACAGCTCAGGCGAAATAGTGGTCTCTGTACACTACATGTTGTGATTGAGAAAGCAGAAGCATTTTCCTGAAACTTCTCATCTGTCATTGTTCCAGTAGAATGAAGACAGGACTGTTTAATGTGGTAAAAGAGCAAGCAGAATACGAAAAGAACACTCAGTGAGTCAGCCTGTGGTATTCAGGCTGGAGAGCTAACCTGTCTCACTTCCCCTCTCCCCAGGCTAATTCTGCCCTATGAGAGATATACGAAAGGAGAGGAGGACAAGCCTCTACCCCCCATCAAACCCCGAAAGCAAGAGGCCGGCGCCCCGGAGGGGGGCGGCAAGACAAAGGTCCCAGCCACGAAGCGACTGAAAGACGACCAAAATCTGAAGGGCCGGAATGAAAAGGACGCCTCAACCAAAGTTCCAGAGCCGGTCAGTTACCAATTCTCTCATTGAGATGCTGCACAGAAACACCTTCCTTTTCAAAACACACAGAAGAAAGAGAGAGACAGAGAGGGAAAAACATGACAGGCCACTTCAGGCTGACTGCCTTTTGTCTCTTTAACAAATAAACCGTCAAAGACCTGTGAGAATAGCGCTGTCAGGAGCAGCTGGTTTTAACATAATTATTTGAGCTGAATCGGAGGCTCTGACCGCTGCACTACAGCATGGTAAATCAAATGGTATTTCCCTGCCTCACTGACTCCAGGCGATTTTTACGCTTTGCCTCATTCAGTTATTTTCTTTCTGTGAACCGCTGGACTGGAGCACACTAGGCTCTCTCTCTCTCAGCCTTCTAGTTTTGCCTCACAAATCAAGTGAAGGAGAAAAGATCATGACCAAGTTGCTGTTATTGACAAGACCTATTGTGCACAGAACGGCACTAAGAGGAGGGCTGCGCTGGAAATGCCTGCTATCAGATCCGACTGGCCATTACGTGCCGACTGAATTGATGCCATATTTTAGTTCTTATATAAACCGCAAGCTTATTTTTATCCCTGAAAGCCAATAAATCCATGGTGATTTGCAAATGTCTTTCCAGTTAAGCAAAAATATGAAAAAAGAGGGAGTGTGCGCGCACGCGCACGACTCTGCAAGGGGAATGAAAATTGAGTTATTATTTTCACATGAATAACCAAATGATTACAGAGAAGATGAAAGGGCCGTTTGAATTTTTCTCTTGAAGTGTCAGATTTCGACACATTTCAGAGCTGCTGCACGGCACATATTCATTTCTGCTGTGCATGAAGTGAGTGATCGGCTGCGGCATGGAAACAAAGAAGGCTGTTGTAGGGGCTGACTGCTTTTCCAGTGGCATGCCTAGCTCATCTGTCTGGTATGTTCTGTAATTTGAAAGCCCTCTCCAGATAATTGATTGTACATTGTACAGGAGAGAAAATGAAAATGGAATTCTCCGTTTGAGGCAGAGCCAATACAAATGGCTAGAGAGGGAGGAAAAGTACAGGGGAAAAAAACACTTTAACATTTCAACCAAAGTTATAGATCTCAGCTGTAGGAGTAATTTTGAGAGGCAGATGCTGGGATTTGTCTCATGGCTCCATGTCAGTGGAATATAATCAGGACATGTACAAATATAGGCATGCTGCTCTGGTAAGAATCAGAGCGTTGTGAGCTCTGTTAATTCAGTCTTTCCTCAGGCACCAAAGACAATCAGGGCTATTGAGTGATACGTGCCTTGCCAACAGGCAGTTACACCCCATTACAACTGTGTAATCTTGGCTGTTAGTCACCAGCCTCTAAAACCCCCCATTCGACATTGTATTTAAGGGCATGTCAGAGCACAGCCCCCAGGGCAAGACCCTCATTGGGCCTCCAGGTCAGGGGTCATCAGCAACATAATATGTGCTCACGCTCTTTATCAGCAGAAAAGACTTGATATGAGCATATTCAGTCCCTTTCTGGGTAACGTCCCATACAAACTGTGCAAAACTGCACGTAATCGGACACCAGATAAGGATATTGTTCCTTTCCCATGTCTACAAAAGACAAGTAGGACCTGCTGTTTAGAAGAGATATAATGTGGTATATGCATAAGCTATTATTCACCTGCAGTCGCATACTTATCTGGGCTGAGGGAGGGAACAGTATGAAAGAGATGAACTAACATTTGACCTGACACTAACTGATGTCAAACATCTGTGCCTTTCTCCAACTGATGCTTGTAATGAATGCAAGGGTGGAGCTTGCCTCTCTTTTGCAGCGCTGCCATGTGGCTGATGTTGTGGCATGTGACTGCTCATTAGAGACTTCTGAAGACTGCCTGAAGCGCATGGACTGCGTTGTGACATGAGGTGCTGGATCTTAAGGTCAGCAGCAGATGTGTGCTGTCACTTCTGCAACACTATGCTGACTACTTTTTGCTTGTTTCATTTGGAATGAAGTGCATTTTGGGATGGATTTGTTCACCACTGACACAAGAGAGGTGGTCCAGCAGGGCTCTTAATACATACCTTTCATCTTATTTATGGAAGGGATTTTTCCTCCCCTCAGCCTCTCTGGAAGTGGAATAAAATCTTGGGGCTAACATTGCAGTAATGCTAACCCTGTAGCTTAGTTTCTGGTGTAGTCGAAGGTCAGGGCATCTGTCAGCTGCCAATGATTCACACAACTTGTGTGAAGCTCAGAGAAAGCTTTGATGTCTGTTTGTAAATTAAGCTAGCGCTTTATTCAAGGTGTTGCACATCAAATTCTGCTGAGCTCATTTCACCTCAAGGGCCTGTGAAACCTTGAGGGCAGGTCTGCAAGCATTTTCATTAAGAATACAGTACAGCAGATTATATGCCTCTGCAGTACCCAGTTCAGTGATTAAGTGGCCTTTTGTTTCCATGTACATTTGTGTCTCTAGGGTGCAGAGGACATAGAGGACAAGGAGCATCTCCAGGAGGAGGTGCTGGTGAAGCAGAAGGCACAGCAGTCCCAGCTTCCAGCCCAGAGGGAGGGCGAGGTGAAGAGTCCCACCTCGGATGATGGTGACGTGCAGCTGATCATCAAGGAGGAAGAGGACAAACTGGTGCTTCAGAAGGCCCCCTGGGATGGCGATACACACGAACCAATCAATAGGAGCAAGCACGCATCGCTTCCACAGGATGGCACGCCACTCAAATCAGAGGACTCTGATGTGTTCCCTGTTGCTGCCTCCATACCACTACGCCATTCCCACCCCTTCACTCACCCTCACACACAGGACCAATGGCAGCATGGGACACCAGATTACAAAGTACCTCCGTACACCTTGGGAAATATTGAACAGGCTGGGTTAAAAGAGAATCAGAACCACGTAGTAATGGTGCTACCCTCTCTGAAGCAAAGACCTCTGCAACCCCTGTCAGCGCCAGAGATTCCAACGGAGAGGGCTGAACTCCCAACCAAAGAGGAGAGCTTCAGCTACAACTCACTCCTCTATCCTAGAAGCAACCCTGGCATAATGTCCCCCTTAGCCAAGAAAAAGATGCTGTCCCAAGTCAGTGGCACTGGGTTGCCCAATAATTATCCCTATGGTCCTCCTCCCCCATTAGTCAACAAAAAGGCATCAGCCAGTAGCACAGAGGAAACAGCTGCTGGACAGCATGGCCCCCAGGTCCCTTCCACTGCAAGTGAGGCAAGTGTAGTGATCAAGCGTCCATCTGTCATCCAGCATGCCCAGAGCTTCAAGTCTCGAGGTGGTGAGGACAGGAGACCTTCTGTAGAGTCTTCTCAGAAAGAGGTGTGTAATGAGGGGGATTCATACCCTTCTGAACCACTCCAGCACCAACATCTACAGCAGTCCCAAACCAGCCCCACAGGAGAGCCCTATGTTGTGAGGGCCAACCCTCACTCCAGCGTGGAAAAATCTACTGAGATACCTCGTCCAGGACAAGCGCCTAGTTTCCTTGGTGATTTCTACTCCTCACCACATCTGCACAGCCTCTACCGACAGACTGAGCATCATCTGAGCAAGGAACAGCTAAGCAAGTACCTGAGCAGAGAGGCTTACCCACGGGACACTGAGACTGCACATGGTTTCCCCCAGAGCCAGCAGCCAGACAGTGGAAGCCTGACTTATTGTGCTCATCTGAATCAGAAAGAAAAAGGCGCTCCTACTGAAAGGGTGACAGAAGAGCAACCAACAGATCTCAGTCTCCCAAAGCCCTCTCCACACAAACTGCCCCACTCCACCTCGTCACTATGTGGCCTCCCACATTCCATGATGCAACAGGACGTCAAAAGCACTCCTCTCTTCCAAGCAGGCAACAGCCAGAGTTCAAGCTTGGACTACCACCCCAGAGCCTGCCGTGTCCCTCCTATGACTGTTTCCACTCCCAAAAAGGTCAGTGAACCTCAGCCCAAAGCACACAACGACCGAGGAGAAGAAACGCTGAGCTACAAGATAGATGACATGGCTCGGCCCATCCTGAGCACCAAAAGTAGCCCGCAGAATGTTGGTGCAGCACGGCCACTAAAAAGGAACCTGGAAGAGCTGGAAAACGGACCCACTGAGAAGAAGATCAGAGCTGTGACGCCCATGCACTGCTCCACACCTAGAGACATCCCGGTGAAAGTGCGGACCCCGGAGCCTGACAACGAGTCCATGAAGCCGGCAGAGCCGGCGCACGCAGTGCATATCAACAGCTATGCTGCCGAAGGACACAAGTTCCCCCTGCACTCCCCCATCTTCCCAGGACTGTATCCTGGGGCTTTTGTATCTCAGGTACAGGACATGTGTGACAGCCTGAGCCCCCATGTCCCCCCTGGTTACTCACATCCACTGCAGTACTTGAAGAACCAGGCTGTCATTTCGCCACTTATGCCTCCATTCGCCATCCATTCCATAATGATGCAGAGACAGTTCTTGGCCCAGGCGGCCAACCCAGCCCACCTATACAGGCATCCAGTTGGGACTTCGTATGGGGACATTCTCCACCATGGCCTCTACCCCATGTCAGCCCTCAATCCCCAGCCAGCTTTCAGTCCCCCGCAGCTCTCTTCAGTTCATCCCAGCACCAAACTCTCTTAGATAGAGGAGCCTGACATTCCGATAACTGGAGAGGCCTAAAAGACACTCCTGACTCATACTCGAATGGTCCCTATTTCCAGTAAGCATGGCCGTGCTGTCAACCACACAGCTATAGACGCTTCAACTTAGGAGCAGTTTATTTCTGTTATTTGTCCTTTTTTGCCACTCAAGTTTATGATTTGCACATTTCTTAGAACATGGGCCAGCTGGGCTGATTGTGTCTTGTTCTCACCGTGCTGTCTGCAGGCGTCAGTTGACTGGTTTGAATAAGGATTGCCTTAGCATGAGCGCTGGAGTTAGTGGAGGGTGTTATGTCCCAATGGATGAGCAGGAATTCTCACTGAACTTCTGGGTGCCCAAAGGATATAAACAAGTCGAGTGACAAATCAATGCAATTGCAGCAATGCTATTTCAATCAATCCACAGAACTCTGGTTCGAAACACTATTTTGACATCATGCAGGAAAGCTGCCTGGTGAACTATTGTACCTTTGCATATTAATCCTTACTGTGCATCTTTTTATGTATCAGTGTGGTAGTTTAGTGTGTTCATATTTCAAGCCTGCAGGGGTTAAACTAGTAAGATCTAAGTTTTGTTCAAACCACAAGAGATCAGAACATTGCAGTTTGGTGTGTTACACAGCTACATGTAAATAAAACTAACTAAGCTTTCTTTGAAAGAATCTTATACATTGATGATAAAATGTGAGTTAGGTTTCACATGCTTTTCTGACCACCATCCACTGGCATCCGCTTCTGTTCCTCTCACACTCAGCGAAGCTCCCTCCCATTTGCCAGGGCAATGTGGAATGTGTTTGTCAAATGTAGGACCGAGGTGCTTGTACATAACCCCAGCAAACTGAAAACACTTTGTATCATACTCACTGGCTACTGTAATTTCTGACTGCGCTAAACCGCAAGTTCTAAAATGGGATCACTTTGCTCGTGATGGGATGAAGTACCATGTCCAGGACTACTTTGGTGTCAGAAAGTGGCTTTTTCTTTGCAGGCACACACTTGTGATCACAGTTTACTCAGAGGAATTCTTTTCAGGAGATTTACCAGGGTTTAAGACTATACCTGAGGATGTGGGAGAGGGAGTTTTAGGAGCACTTAGTGAAGCACACAAAAGGCCCCTCCTGATTGTTTATGTTCAAAGATGTATAGCAGTGGATGTCAAACTTACCTTAAGATACGTTGGATTGTGCTGGCAGTATTGGCAGTGGTCAGACGTTCTGTGTAAAATAATGTGAAACACCAGAAAATGGTTAACAGTCAAAAAAAAAAAAGTAATTTCTTTGCACAAAGGATTTTGGAAAAGTACCAACACAATTTGTAAGTGACACAATCTTCCTAGGGGTAATCAATTTTTTTCTTTGTTTCACTCTTTATTTTGATGTATTAGTAGGAGAAATTAAACTTAAAAGTTCAAGAAAATGTATTTGCTCCAGCAGTGTTTGGAGTAGCACTCAAGGTTGCTATGTAACATTTTTAATAAGAAATAAACTGTTTTATAACTTAAAAAAACATTAATTTTATCCAGTCATGTGCTGCATTCACTGTATTTGCATATTTGATCAACATTGTCTTTTGAAATGTATACACGATATAACATTACAGTACATTCAGTTAATGCAGTAAAAGTAACAAGAATTTGTTTCAAAAAGTAGTTAAGATGATGTGAACTGGTTAGATGAACACAGGTTTGGTTCTCGCCTTCCCAATGATGCCCACAGCTATGGTATGGTTTTGTTAAGTTCCTTCACCAGCACACCTGATTTAACTTGATGCATCGATTAGCCAAACTAGGTATTGGATGTTGGCTACAAAAGACTACCACAGGAAGAGGTTTGGAAATGGTTAACACATTGACACAGTCTTAAAATCACTACTTATTTCATGAACTGTATTATTGTATTAATACATAAAATCTATATCAATTTTAAGTATATACATATAATATAGTGTGCATATATACACACACACAACAATCCAGTCAAAACAATCAAGCACAAGTCATTTATTTTTCAGGGAAAAGGCAGAAAATATTTAATATTAAAACTTACACAGAAAGCTTGCTTCTCAACCTGCAGGGAAATTTCTCCAGTCTTAGAATTTGGTTTCACCTGAAAAGCACTGGATGGAACATCACTTCAGAGAACGCAGTTCCACTGCTCCACAGCCTAATACCAGGTGGCTTTATATCCTTCTAGCTGATGCTTGGCACTGAACATAGTGACTTTAGGCTCATGTCCAGCTGCTCCAGAATGTCCCATTCTATGCTTTTCTCTGGAGATTATACAAACTATGTGTGCGCAATTGAACACCCCTGTCATTAGTGGGGGTATAGTAAAGTAGCCAGATTCACTGAATAGAATGGGTGTCTAGATACTTTTGGACATATAGCGTATCAGCATTCATGATGCCGTCTATCAAGAACAAATCTCCAACCCCAGATGTTCTTGCACATCCCCAAAACTTGTACCAGTCCTCCAGCATCCTTGACTGATGGTTGTAGACACGGCTCGAGAGTCTTTTATTGCTTTGGCAGCGTATGCACTGATTTCTGTTACTTGCAGAGGTCTCAGATTTAGACTCATCAGTCCATAAAACCTCAACATCTCAGGTGTCCAAATTTTGTTGTCCTACTGCACAATTTGTTCTTTTTTATTTATTTTATGTGTTCTTGACAGCTACACATCTTTTTTTTTCAGGCCCATAGTGTTAAGTTGTCTTCTCATAGTGGAAGGATGGACAGAAACTCCTGTGGATTCTTGTTTCCTACTTTTTTTCTAAAACTGAAAAAATAACTTAATGGCTGTTTATGACTGGAAATTAAATATAGGAAAGAGTGGTCTCTTGACTTAAATATCACAACAGCACAGTTCTGTAACTTAAATATCAAACTCTTCACAGCAACATGACACTGTATATAACACAGTGTGAAGGAGGTCTATTTAAAGTTGGTATTTTTCTAGTGTCTCAGCAGGAGGAGAAAGTCATCCATGTTTTGGTACTGAAGTCACCCACAGGCTGAAAGAGCCCTGTACTAGAGCACATCTGCTCTAGTTTACCATGTCCATTATAATTGTAATGAGCGCTGGGAATTTCGAGGCCCCCATAATTAGAATGTTTGTCAGGAGTACTTAAAGTACTTCTTTCAGTGTTGAACTGTCAAGGCCGGCTGCGTTTTTGGAGGTTAGAGTTCAGACCTCAGCATGTTACTTTTTTCATTTTTTTTTTTTTTAAGAAAAGAAAAATTCTAAAACTTAATGTACTGCTATTAGCACTTTGCGTGTCTAATAGTGTCCCCCTTGTGATTCACGTATCTGTTTCATAAAATTTGTGCTAACATTTTCTATGAATGCCATATCATAAATACATTCATGACTTAATGCATTCATAAAGCATTATAAACACAGCTATAACTAAACATGGCCATGATTTCTTATTCGACTTTTGAATCATACCTCTATCTGCAATGGAATAATAGCTTGATTAATGTATTGTAGCATTTCTTTGCAAGCTTCAAGTGACAGAATATATTTATTATGTCTTTGTTATTGATAGATATATCATAACCCTATTATAATAACTTTTAACTTGTACTTGTTAATTATTAGTAAAGAAGAATATATTTTAGACTTAAGGAATGTTTATAGGATTGTTATATATGATGCATTATGCAGTTTCTTTGGCACTGATAATCTAATGTATTATGAACACTACTCATAATGCATTATGTTAACAGTTCATAATGCATAGTAAACATAGCTGTCATATGCAATGCATTTTTATAAATATTTATAGCCATATTTATAATGCATTAGAACATTTTGAATGTGTTTATTATTTCTGGAACAGTATTTATAGAAAGTGTTATCAAATTTGTACAGTAGAGTGGGTAAAGTGGAATTGCTTATTATTAGCAGGTGGTTTTTAGCCTTATTATTTCCCATGACATGCTCACTGAACCATGGCTTATGACATCTACGACATAAATACAGCGATTTTATTTGTTATTCAGAATGACCAGTGAACCTACATGCACCTTGTGGGTTTTTTTGTGTGATGATGATGATAATGTTAAAATAGTTGTAAATCTGAAGAAATAAGTTTTCATTCAGGACTATTTTGCCTCACAGTGCCCTGCACGTACCCCTCTGCCACAAACAGATTTATGTAAAACCATGTCTCAGGCAGTATATTCATAACTATTATGTCTAATAACTTTCTTTGAGGAAGCTTCAGACGTCTGGTTCCTGACAATTCTGACCCAGTTTCACTAGAACATAAGCATATTACATCAAACCACTCTGAATGAATTTGTTCACATCTTAGCAATTTAGTTAGGAAGAAAAATCCATGAAATTCCCCCTTCAAGCATTTTTAGCCAAACTGGTATTTTTCGCTTCATAATAAAAACATAATATTCAAGGGCGAAGGCAAGGGGTGGTCCAGTGCTGTCCTTACATGAAGCATGGTCACTCTTTAGGCCACCAAGGTTAAACAAAGTGTGGAGATTTATTTGGGAAAATCTGCCACTGGGGCCGTTACTAGTAAGTTATGATCTGACACTGCACTCAATGATCAGTGTATCTCACAGGCGAGAGAATGGGGCTAAAACTTAAACCTTAAACCTGCTTCAGGAAGCAGTTAATGTTGGCTTTCTACATTAAGAAAAGGTTTAAAAGCACCAAAATAAATCTCTACATCAGTATTTTTGGTTGCACATTGCACCTTATGTGGATTACTGTAAGTGAAGATTTTAACAGTGTTCAGCAGAGACTATAAATAGTAGAGGGAACAAAACATACAAACATTTTCAGATAATGTAATGAAAAACCACTCAGTTCTTCTTGAGTGAAGCTATTTTAAATTTTAAGATTTGGTTAACCAGTTAATAACACTATTTTGCTAATGCTTAAAGAACTGACCACCAAAATTGACCACAGTAATAATTGTACACCCTGTACACTTAAGCAGCGCTGCGGTTATATGAAGTAGGCTATATGATGACCATTAAAAACTAGTAACTACTAACATTTACTATGGTATAGTAACATCTGCCCTTTATCATGTAAGCAAAATACTTTTACAGCTGAGTACATGCATGTGTTTAATAATGCAGGCTAGATTTCATCAGAGGTGAAGTTCCTGCTAATGCAGGTTAGCATGTTACCCAGCCAAAAAGTATTCTCTCATAACGTTATCTTACCTTTTCTCCCTAGTGGTTTGCCACCCCAAAGAAACCACTGGGTCTAACCTGGCCACCCTATTAAAAAGGATCTTGCTACACCCCTGAGTATATTACCTCATTTTGTTTAGATCATATGCCATAAAGGAAACGGCTAAATGTGCTTGAGCCACATTTTGGTTTCTGAATGTCAGAGCCAGTACGTGTAATACAAGCCATGTGGCCAGGCTGCAGCAAATATGTGCGACTCAAATGTAACCTACCACTTCAAGTGCTCTTAATAATACAGCCAATATTTTGAGAACAACATGTCAACCTTGAAATAACTGTACTTCATTAAAATGTAAAACACCCCAGCAATGTTTTTCGAAGCTTTTGATGCACCCTCTAGTGGCTGAGTCAAATTTAGTCAAGAGGATCAGAAGCTTTAATTACAGACTGCTTTCTTTCTCTGTGAGAATTTGGATTTAGGAGGAGGCCCAGGAAAGGGGGTCTGTAAAACTGTGTTATCACAAAAAGAAAGGTGGTTAGCGCTAACTTTTGAAAGAATTAAGGGGCGGTTCCACTAATTTTTCAAAATGTGTACAAAATTAGATGGTTAAAATGTAAACAAAGTCATTCAGAATCACTTGATGTGAAATGCCCCGTTCTAAAGAAGCTTACCTTGTCAGAATTATTCACAGTGGTGGTGATAGGAACCAGACGTCTGAAGTGTTTAATGCTGCTAAAAGTTACAGAATGTTACTACATTATATGATTATGAATATGCTGCCTGATGCCTGAAACACTATTTTACTAAAGTTTTGAGGTAAGGGTTTGGCCTAAAACATACATTTTTAAAAGCCATTCATGGCAGAAGGGTACATGTAGGGGTTTGTGAAGCAAAATAGTTACCAAAGAATTTTTTTCCAGATTTACCACTATTTTACTGACATCATATGTTAAGTGTTATTGTGACCCCTGGTTCCTATCACCACCACTGTAAAGAAATCTAAATTGGCAGGTTTCAATTAATCTACAATTAAGACTACAATTAATAATTTCACATTAAACCACTCTGAATGACTTTGTTTACATGTCAATGACTGAATGATATAGATGTTTTGAGTAGTAACTGAGCAAACGGAGACTAATGTATTTGTAAGAGCAGATCAAGCAGTAGCGGCATAATAACTTCCAACCTCCGTGAGGTAAACAGTTCTTCTTTCTCACTTTCACAGCTCATCACTTGGGTTGAGTCAGAAGAGGAGGGCAGCGGACGTTGTTGCTTTTCCTGCCTTTCAGTGTTTTGGTGATTAAAATATACATAACCGGTGCGAATGGGTGGAAATCATTCCGTTT